ATATATATTTGTTGTAGATTATGTCAAAGGTTTTAGTTGAATAATAATAATAATAATAATAATAATAATAATAATACCACGTATTACTATTATTATTGTTATTATTATTATTATTATTATTATTATTAGTAGTAGTAGTAGTAGTAGTAGTAGTAGTAGTAGTAGTAGTAGTAGTAGTAGTAGTAGCAGTAGTAATAATAATAGTAGTAGTAGTAGTTAGTTAGTTTTTTTCTTTTTCTTTTTACATTTTTTTACATAATTTCGATAATGTTTTGGTTACCTTTTTCTGCCTTTCCTATTGCTTCGTAGGCATGAAACTGTGTCATTTTTTGACGTTACACCATTACAATAAAAGACAAATTGACACTTTTTTTTACTGATTTATTTCTTCAAACGATAACATGGGACAATTCATTCTTTCTGTTTTACGTCCAGGTAAAACTTCCCACAGTGAAACTGATAGATTACAAATCAAACTAGCCCGATATGACCTTGAACATTTAGAGAAAAATAAATTGTTCGTCGACGGTTTTTTTGTGTGTTTTTTTTAGGTAAATAAATCAAAATAAGATGTGAATGTAAGAATCATTGATCCATACTGTTCTCATCAGCAGCTTTGGTTTGACGCGTCTCTGACCGTCGAAGCTAGCTTCTTCTCCTCTTGCCTCCTGCTCATTCCTCTTCCGGGTGAGGTAGTCGGTGGTTGATGTTGATCTATCAGCCTGTCGCCCAGGAAACGGCGCAGCCAGCGTAATCCGGCACAGGCTCAAAGACAGTGAAGCATAAAAAAAAAAAAAAAAGCGAACTCCGCTGCGCCCTGGCGAGCTTTTGGTGCTGGACTCTTTGCTGGCCAAATTTTGAAACCACCTGCCGCGCGAGGTTTGGCGTGTATATCTGCTTGTGCTTGTGGATGTTCGAGCCAGACTTGCCTTACTTTTTGGCGTAAATCATGAGGTATGGAAGGGCATGCTGAGCGTAACTGTCCCAAAGAGGCACCAAGTAACACGGAGATGCTCCTCGCTCTGCTGTCACACAGTGAGGAGTTACGGAAAGGTAAAAGCTACAGGCACGATTTCTACGTCTTTTAAATATTATTTATTTAACAAACGTTTCTCTGTAAAGTATGACTCAATCTGCTAAATTGTTGACATGGGTTGGTGGGAGACGTCTTGATACGTTTAGTTTATTAAACTGGTGTGTACATCTTTCATATTGTACATTTTCGGGTATTTCATTTCCTGGAGGATCAGTTTGTACGATTACAACAGCTTAAAGAGCAGAGAGGACATGTCATTTTGCACGTTGGGACAAAAATATTCATAGGATAAACATTTGACCTTTGATCTACCTGAATTCAGATGAGCGAATGCAGTTTGGTCACAGTTTGAATCTCCGGATTATTATTATTATTATTATTATTATTATTATTATTATTATTATTATTATTATTATTATTATTATTATTATTATTATTATTATTATTATTATTATTATTGTTGTTATTTTCTTGCATAACAAAAGTTTATTATATGATGCACAACTTCAGTCATGCAGAAAAGTGACCATTTATAATTTCAATTAGTGTTCTTCCGGCAATTCAGAACGGCTTACCGCGACAGCATCAGATCAAAAACTGTTACTATCATTTTTTTTTTCTAATTTTCAAGTTTTGGTGTTGCATGTATAGGGTAATAAACTGCTTTCCCCCACTGTAGTGGTGTAAGCCGTGAGACCACAGGCCTGCAGCTTTCTAGTTTTACCGAGCTGCTCTAAATTATGGATGACCTGGATACACCTGTTCCTGACGCCGCTTGCTGCTGCTGATGCAAGTAGAAATGGCTCCTCAATGTTTCATGACCTGTCCTCCCGCAGAACAATAGCGGCGCGACTCCTTGCAGGGGCTGCACGAAGTGCTTGAGCTTCTTTTAATTAGTAATAAAGAGGCCGAATAACATCGTATCTGGCATTTCGGGCATCTTTGTTTTGCTTCAGTTCTTTTGGTGTAGATTTGTATGTTAAAGAACAGGCGGTATCAAGGTTTGAAGTGGTTGCTTATTGCAAGGTATTGACTTTTTCCTCCGGCACTTTTACAAAACTAAACCTTGGAAAATGTGACTTGTTCCTAAAGGCATTGATCGTTTTGTTTAACCGTGAAAATCTCCACCGTATGGTTTTATTCGGATCCAGTTCTTAATTTAATATAAGTTACAAACAGCGTATCAATTAAATTTGAAATGTTTCCTGCACGTTTTAGAAAGTATCCCATCTGAATTTTATTTATTTGTTATTTGTTTAACCGTCTTTATCCCTTTTATTATTATTATTATTATTATTATTATTATTAAAACACACGAAGCAGTCACAAACGTTGAGGTAATCCCAGCACTAACTGAATTATTCTGATTTCATCTCTCAATAAAAACAACTGAGACATCATTCGAAGAGTTTACAGGCTATTTTCACTGGAAAAAAAATATTTAGTCATATCGCAGGCCAGTGACGTAGCAAATAACTAAACCTGACCAATCATCGAAAAAGCTTCTCTCGATCACCTGCCACAAAAACAAATAGTTAAGACATAATATATATTGTCTTATGCATTTTGGGTTTCGTTTATTTATTTATGTATTTATTTATCCTTTTCTATTATTTAGTCTTGATGTTTATGCAGGAATTCAGGCTTATTTTATCATTGACAAAGACCTATTTGCGGGATACAATTCCTATATTAAGCATGCAGTTTCATACGTATTCTTGCATTATTTCACAAAAAGATTAATGAATGAATGAATGAATTTGTCACGATCTACCGTGAAAGGCCGTGCCATATCATAGAAACGGGCGTCTTTTCTTTTACAGACATTCCCTGCCGTTGTCCCCCGACATCCCGTGATTCCCGCTTTGCCTTTTCTCCGACAGAAATCCCCTTGTGCGCAGGCTGCAATCAGCACATCGTGGATCGCTTCATCCTCAAAGTGCTGGATCGCCACTGGCACAGCAAGTGCCTGAAATGCAGCGACTGTGAGGCGCAGCTTGCGGACAAGTGCTTCAGCAGAGGCGACAACGTCTACTGCAAAGACGATTTCTTTAAGTGAGTTCCCTACCTTGTTTTTTTTTTTTTTTTTTCTTTAAATGATGAGTATAACTATTGATATAATTTTTTGTCATTATTAATTAATTAAATAGTTAATTAATTAATGGGAAGCCTCTCGTGTCCAAAAGGAGATTTGGCACCAAATGCGCGGCCTGTCAGCAGGGGATCCCGCCCACCCAGGTGGTGAGGAGAGCGCAGGACTTCGTCTACCACCTGCACTGTTTTGCGTGCATCGTGTGCAAGAGGCAGCTGGCCACAGGTGACGAGTACTACCTGATGGAGGACAGCAGGCTGGTCTGCAAGGCCGACTATGAGACCGCAAAGCAGAGAGGTGAGCCGACAGACTCCACAATCGCATGCGCAAACGGTGCCGTCAGAAATACTGCGCTGCACATTTGGCGATGTTCGCACCTGGAGTTGTATGTTTGGCGCGGCGGAGAGGTCGTTTACAACTGCGACCTGCCGGCGGTAGTTGCATCATTTTCAGCAAATCAGTCATTACTAAACAGAAGAAAGTTGAGAAAATATGAAAGGGGGAACGAGAGGGAGCGGGAGTTATAAGTTTGCGCTCTAAGGATTATCTTCTAATAATTTTTGTGACCCCAAATAAGGTTGCGAGGGAGTCAAAAGTACAGCCTAGAAAGGCTGATCTGCGTGGGAGGGGAAATGTTGGCTCATCCAGGGCACAAAGATGATCTCTTTTTGCGAGACCTGCCCAAGTTAGAGCAAGCTTTGCGACTGTTTGGGGACTCCTGATCGCCTGGGGCGCCTGGGAAAAAAACAGCATGTCCAACAGGAAGTGTTGATGAAATACACTAAAGGAAATCCCTCATATTTTGAAAATGACATGAACAGAGTTTCAATTTCGAGCTAATTTAATTATTTCTGTTGTTTGTGTCTCAATTAAAGTTTATGTATGCACAGTTTCAAACAAGCTGCACCAAATATATATATTTTTTGAAACTTTCAAATAATTTGTAAACTCAAACCAACCTTCAAAATATGCTACCAAGAACCTCTACAAGTAACACACACTGTAATTAGGTGCCCGTAGATCACTATAAATAAGCTATTTTTTTTTTCCTGTGGTCAGTTGTGAACACAACATCATTGCGCTCATCAATACTTTATTTAACGTGATTTAAAATGGAGCAGGTTCTCAGTCATATCCCTTTTTTTCATTTCGGCAGCCTTCTTTAGCCCACACTTTTGTGAATCCCAACAGGCTCGTTCCAGGCCTGGGCAGGCTGAGCGTGGTCAGGGTTTTATCTCTCCATCTGTTTGTCCTTAATTTACATTGCTGATTTATGCGGGGAGTTAACACAAGTTTTTGCAAAAAATACACACGTTTATTTTGCTAATGACATGGTGCAATTATTCAGGCGGCGTCCATTTGGGATGATGGTTTTTGCAGGCACTTTGGAACAGATGTTCAGACAAGCAGCAAGTGTGTGTGCATTGCATTACTATAGTTCACAAACAGGGAGACACTTATCCTGCTTTGTAAATTCTCAAAGTTGTTTATTACAAATTATCTTCTTGCAGCTATAGAGATTATGTGCTTTTATTAGCATGTTGCACACCAAGGATGGTCATGTAGAGTTTCTCACGTCAACTTCAACGGCAGCTTTTCATTGTGACAGCAGCGCTGAAAAAACATAAATCCCACAGAGCATTTATGTCTGCTTTACTTTGTGTCTACTTATGTTTCTTCTGCTGACTGTTGCATTCGTCTCCATTAGTTTCATGCTGGAGCAAATAAAAACAAATCATACAAAGCAAAAATTACTTTTAGAGTTACCGGAAGACCGCTTGTGTTTCTTACAGAAGCAGACTCCACGGCAAAAAGGCCCCGGACGACCATCACTGCTAAACAACTAGAGACGCTGAAGAATGCCTACAACAACTCTCCAAAACCGGCCCGCCACGTCCGGGAGCAGCTGTCGTCAGAGACGGGCCTGGACATGCGGGTTGTCCAGGTACAGTACATTATTCTCTATTAAGAGCTACTCCATTAGTGTCCTGACTTCATTATCAAGGGACAATTGAGGCTGATCTGGCACAGGCTCACTGTACGAACAAGTGTGCGTATAAACTTATAAGAGGAAGTGTTGGGGGTGTGGGAGGGGGGGGATTTATGGCCTGACGTAGTAAAATGAAGTCGGCATGAAAGTCGTCGTTGTTTAAGTGCAGTCTCGTTAACAATACTGAGAGGGCCCCTCGCATATTGTCCGCTACTGCGGAGCCTCGCCGCCGCTTGCTGTAGGTGTTAGTCGTATATATTGTTTTATTTGCAAGGACAAAACTGGGGACAGAAGCCACTAAAATGCCCCTCATTATTCAGTAAAAGGGAAGGGGTGAAGAGGGTTCACGCGGGGTGGAATATCTTTAAAAAGAATGTCGAGTTGCACGCTTTGTGCGCAAGTGACCTGAACGAATTACTGCTAAGTGTGAGATTAAGGATTCAAGTAAGGACAGTTCAAATTGAGACGTTACAGCGAAAGCAGGGATGAGTTAGGATCAAAAATGCGGAAAAAAAAAGTTTTAAATGATGTAAGGAGTCAAGAAGGTGTCAAGATTAATGATGTGATAAAGCAGATTTAGGGGGAAACTGGTCCCAGGTCAAAGGTCAATATTCTTGTCTTGTTTTTTAAGCATGAAGTGATCATTACGGTGTGAAAATCACTAGGTTGACTGTTTTCTCTTTCAGATCAAGAGATTCATTTTGTAAAAGGAATGAAATTACAATTTTTTTTAAAAATTTTTTTGTTTGTTTTTGATAAATCACCACTGGAAAATCAAGTGACCTTTTCCCATGTATCTTTTGGTCATCTACCATTACATTTGCCATTTCTGACATCTCGTTTCTTTCGCCCTTCAGGTTTGGTTTCAGAACCGACGAGCGAAAGAAAAGCGACTGAAGAAGGACGCCGGGCGGCAAAGGTGGGGCCAATATTTCCGCAACATGAAGAGGTCGCGAGGAAGTTCCAAGTCTGACAATAACAGCATTCAGGAGGAGGGCATGGACAGCGACGCTGAGGTGTCCTTCACAGGTATGTTTAGTCTCTTACAAATAAGAATAAGGTACAGACACATGGCATGTCTCAGAGACAAGGAGACTGAAACATAGTCGTTATTTACATTGAAGTTCTTTGGTATTAACAGTGAACACTTTTAATATCCAGACTTGCCTTTTTCTTTCAGGGTTATGCAAAATATTTGCTATTTCACCGATTTTATTGTGTATGACGTATGGTTCGCCGTAAGGTTCGTAGATACAGTCCATCGCTGCATTTGCCTAGAAATCATCCATCCATCCATTTTCTGAACACCCTTGTCCCTCAGTGGGGTCGGGAGGGGTGCTGGTGCCTATCTCCAGCTAACGTTCCGGGCGAGAGGCGGGGTACATCCTGGACAGGTCGCCAGTCTGTCGCAGACCTAGAAATCAATTAAAGATAAAAAATGATTTGAAACAGAATGCAGCACCGCGACGTTGCACTTCCGCACAATGTCGCGGAAGTGTAGATATAGAGCAAATGGAGTTATAAAAGGCAGTAGTGAGAATAAGCATTGTAGTATAATGGATTATCTTTTCTTTGTTTGTTTCAAATATCGACATGAAGTCAAAGTCGGCTTAAAAAATCTCGTGTTGTTGGAGTAAAGAGAAGATGAGATGTTATGAAACATCACACGAAACAAAGAAAAGTGCATTCAACACTGTGTTTTTTTGCCAAAAAGAGATTTTAATTACGCAAAGACATAGATTACCTCCTCTAATTACTTTAACTAGCAAACATGACCTTTCTTAAAATTTTTAGACAAAATGAAAGGGCTATATGCAAAATCTGCTCTTTGTAGCATAATCCATAATGTAATGACTGACCAAACAGTGACTTTGTTTGCCATATTTTTTAGCATATCCAGTTTTTCATCCAGTGTCAGTCATAATTGCAGAAGAACGCAGCTCTTATTGTCAGATAAGTTATGATACCCAAACGTAGGGAATCATCAACGACTCTGCTTTTGCCAGACAGACAGAAACATGTCAGAAAAGCTGCTACAGTAGCCAAGCAATTTGTCACTCTGACACGAATCTACATTAAAAATGTTAAAAATATCCACCCCCAGCAACATGAATGCAGTCCAATATTTTTTCTAAAATAAATTCAATTTGTAACAAAAGTTTACTTCTATGAATACCTGATGTTTGCAAGCCTTGCAAGTATATTCAATGACTTCAAACTAATTTAGTTTACAGATTTAGTTTAGCCTGTGATTGAACCCAATGATCGGATTGACTAATGAACATGTGTTTGCCTACACTTCAGTGTATATGAGAAATATACAAGAAACTGATGGTATTCATTACTGAAAATTACTTAAAATTAGGTAAAACCAACCATTTCTTCTTTTTTTTTTCCCATTCGTGTTGCACAGATGAACCTCCCATGTCAGAGCTTGGCCACACCAACAGCATTTACAGCAGCCTGAGCGAGTCCTCTCCAGCTGTAGGAGGACGCCAAACCGGCAACAACCACAGCTCCTTCCCGCTGGACCACGGCACGCTTCCCTCCCAGGACCAGTTCCACGACATCCGCTCCAGCAGCCCCTATGGCCTCCCCCAGTCGCCGGGGTCCCTTCACGCCCTGCCGAGACACCAGCCTCTCATCACCAGCCTCGTTTACCCCGATTCGGGCCTTTCTATCATGACTCAAAGCGGCGGACCGGGCGTCAACCCCTCTGTGAGAGTCTCCATGGGGGCCGCCAACGGCCCCAGCTCAGACCTCTCCACTGGCAGCAGCGGTGGGTACCCGGATTTTCCCGCAAGCCCTGCGTCTTGGTTAGACGAAGTGGATCACGGGCAGTTTTAATTTTGACAGCGAGAAACTTGACTCTGTTGTCTCCTGCTGGCGTTCTTTTCGTGCTCTGTTGGACTGAAGAAATGCGGGAGTCGTGCAAAGGGGGCGGTGTCTGTGTGAAGTAGCAGAACACTGGTCAGATCTCACTTGCAGCTGCCAGATTAATAAGAGAAAAATACAAACAAAAAGCTATCCATTTAAAACATTATGACATAATGTTTGCAAATTACCAATTTGTCACTAAATCTATTCTTTGTAAATGCCACTCTGGAGTCTTTTAAAGCAAACTAGCTAGTGGAGGAAGAACTGATAAGGTTAGACATTAGACACTTGTATTTTTTATTTATTTATTTTTTATTTTATATTTTTCTCAAATCCCAGCATTACTTCTCTGATTTAACTTTATCACTTTTGGCATGATCAGGTGAAAAATCCAGTCCAATGCGCTGCATCTTTAAATGTCTGTTTGTTGCCAAATGTCTACACTTAAGTATATACGAAAATATACTTAAATATACACTTAACGTTTATGATCCATAAATGTGGAGACTTTATTTTTATACAAATCCGATTCTTGGACGTAAAAGAAGGCGCTGGGCATGGGGACTTTGTACATTCTTGAAAAATGTAGATATCATGTTAAAATGGTACCCAGGGGTCCAATCACTTCTATGCATTTGGTGTGTTCTCAAATGTGTCTCGTTTGCTTTGTTGTACCAGAAAAACCATCTCAAAGATGAGCTGTAGAAATCGGAGTTGGGGAATTGGGACGGGATGTATATGTTTGTTTATGTGGAAAATGTCTTATGTATTATTTATTCCCTACTGTAATTATGACAATTCATATATAAATAGCAGGACTTTAATAAATTTCACACCTTACAGAGCACGGAGCTTAGGTCTGTTTTGTTGGTCCACGAAACGGCGCATCTTACAAGCAGGGGATATCCGGTTCACCTCAAAGTATCCGCAGTTCCCTGCCATTCTGATAGTGAAACTAGAGAAAGCCTGCAGTTTGCCTATGTCTGCAAATTGAGTATCTGGCTACCTACCAGCACTGTATCAGGGGTTCAACAGCTCTTTAGTGGAGAAATTTGATGCAGTCAACTCATCAATTCAGAGATTACTGGGCCCTGTTTCCCCCAAATGCCCCTATGGGAAAGGAATCTCCAATCCATTATCCAAGAAGGGATCGAGTGCCCCTCGTGAATTTCCTCATTTGTTTAGTTATTCAAAGTCGGGTTCAATTAAATAGATTAAACAGTAAATGTCTGCGTCACCGTGTTTACGTGAGTGGCCCGTGCCAGTACGAGCGTGTGCGCGCTTGCATGTTTATGCATTTCCTTTTAGTGTAGTCAGCGTTCAGGCTTTGTGAATTTTTTTTTTTTTTTTTTTTTTTTTTTTTTAATGTTTTCATGAATACTTTCTTACATAATCTTTAGGTAATGAGTTTTACAGGCTGTTAGATTTATCAGCATTGGCGAGACGTTTGAACGTGCTTTAAAAGCAGGAAAAATAATTGTTTTTATTCGTCAAATATGTTTTATAAAAGTTTTTTTTTTTATCAAAGGTGACAGGTTCTTACTTAAAACTAAAATTAAACATAGCTTTAAAAAATGTAACAGAAATAAATGTACTAAATGCATTCAGTCAGAATTAACAAAATACAGAAAAACATAAAACATAAACTATTGAAATTCAGCATTATTGTCTCTTTTTGTTAATTGTTGTAGCATTTTGCAAGTAATCAAAGCTTTGCACATCTCGACCATTTATGCCTCTTTTGTTTGAATAAACATATTTTTCACATGCCATTTTAACAATGTCCGATTTTAGTCTTTTCCAGATGTTAAGGGGTCACAGGTCGTTGCTCAAAGCTTGAAAATTAATCTTTTTCAACAACTTGGATTCACAATTTGTTCTTTATCAGAGTGCAACATATTTTGTATTAAAATGAAATCCTCTCGACATTGTTTGTGTCTCCAGTATCAACCACAACACAGTTCTTCACAGACAGTATCCCTTTCTTTATGGACTTTATTTCATCAGCTGTTGTTTGGGTGTCTAGCAAAGAAAGGACACTTTTTTAATATTTTCTGGATATCCAGTTCACGTGTATGCACCACAAAAAGATTTTACATTGTTCTTTAACCCAATGTTTTTCAATAAAAACATTGCACGTGAATGGAAAATTCAAATATAATAGAAAATTGAAGTTTTGCAAGATCTCTATGTTTTTGTGAACAGGGACTTGACTGTTGAGACATAATGACAGCTATCAAATCTTTGCAACATAAGACAAGCGCTGTTGTTTTTCTGGTTCCTTCTGTGCTTTGACGCAGTTGTTGCCTTCAGGACGGCTCATAGTAACGCTGCAACAAAGCAACTTCAAATATTGTATATTAAGTCACTGATAGTAATGCCTCTTTTGCACAATCTTGGAAAAAACTCTTAGTATCAGATTAGTTGGTCAAATCTCATAAGTGTCCTGGTTTATGGAAATGTTATTTTAAGATTGTTTAGGCCATATTATGTTATCACCTATGCAAAGTTATGTTATGGGGTATGGGTAGAGAATATTATAGTAGTTTAAGTGAGAACTATTTTATCAATAGTTTTATTTCATACAGTTGCTCTAACTAGAAATACTTTAAAGATTATATGTAATCAGTTTAGTCTTTATTTGTCAGTCAGCTTTTGTCTTGTCCCTTTGTTGAGTTGCATATTTATTTGCTCAACAATAGTATTTTATGTTAAAACAAACAAGCTATTTCATGTTGGTTAACGCTGTGCTAAATTAAAAGGTAATATTTTAAAACATGACAAACGCTGAGGAGCAATATTACATATTTCCAACGTAGATAAGTGACGATTTCGAAACAGTAGTATAAAATCTTTAAAAAAAAAAAAAAAAAGTTGTACATGGACATTTTAGTCTACATAATGAAAAGTGTATTACTCCACCTCCATGAAACATTACATATTTATAATTGCAAGATCCACTGGTCCTTATTATGCTTTGTTTTTGAGTGTAACCCCAAACTCCCCCCTCAGGTTCCCACAACAAGAAAAGGATATTCAATTGACTCCTTCCCGCTAATGAGGGGATCAGTGTGTAAACTGAGCCAGAAAAACTTTGGTAAAAACTGTAAAGAGGTGAGAGTAAGGGGGCTCATTAATCCACTCTAACACCCACTTTGGTCAGTATGGAGGCAGTTTTTAATTGAGATTAGAAAAGAGAATTTGGTACAGAGAGGAAGCTATTTTATTTATTTATTTTTTTTCAAAATCTATGACCTTTTGAAGTAAGAAGTTAATAATCGCAACAAGAACAGGCAAGGATTACCATGTTCCACTCTTTTGGATTGGGTTTAAAATCCACCATTTTCTGAGAAAATAAATAAGATTAGGTTAGGTATGCAATTTGCCAGATGAGCAGAACAAGGTTGGTTAACTAATACAATCTTACCTGTTAGTAAGTAGTGGGAAGCTGGCATGAGAAATAAAGGAGAAGGTAATGCAGGAAATTCAATACAATCTCATTTGGAAGGAATGAATCACAGAACAATCCGGTTACAAAGAAGTTTGGGAAGTGAATTCAAATGAGAACAAAGTACTAATTAGCCCAAAAATCTAACTTTAAACGGATTATGAAGAAAACATCATTGTAAAACAAAATCTGTAAATGAATAATACCAATTGGATTAATGATGGTATGTTTTTAAGACATGAATAAGTGTTGGTGTCGATTTAAAAACTTGCAACACCACATCATGATGTATTTGATTTTAAGATTTTAAGAGTTAAAAAAAAAGATTATATATATGCACGCACTTATTATATTTGACCAATGTCCACCACAGAGGCCAAGAATGAAACACTGTGAACTTTCGGCAGGATTACACAAAAATTCACAGGAGTTGTCTGCAGAGACAACGTATCCGTCCATTTAAGCCACAGATTCATCAGCTAAACAATAATAGATAACTTTGTCAACCTAATATTTGGTTAAATATTTGCTCATCATTGAGCGTTTGTCCTTCAGTCTTTAAATTCAACATATTATTTGACAAAAGAATTAGGTTAAATCAAGTTTTTCTATAGAAGAGTAAAGAACAACAAGAAAACAACCTAGGAATTGAAAAATATTTAAATTACTGTGAAAACTTACAAGAATATTATTTTCCGTACGTTACACATGTAAATGATCATTTCACTGGATGCATAAGGCAGTTGAAGTTGCCTTATGCTTAGCAGCGTCGAGTAAACTGTTGCTTTTAACTGTCCTTTCCGTAAAGGACTCTAAGACTGGCAGGACGCCTGTTGTCTCTCAAATGGAGGGCTCACACACACACACACACACACACACACACACGCAACCACACGCATACACACTCACTCCCCAGCGTCGTGTCAGCTGGTGCTGAGTAAATCAGCTCTGACAATAACACCTCCCATGGGTCCTACACATCACAGCTACAATTCAGACCTAATGGAGCAGCAAAGGAGGGCTGAGGAGGGGACTGCTTAGCTTGTGTGTTTTTCGGGCATCCCAGTCTGTGCAAATGTATGAATGGAAGAGGGAGTGAACTTATTTAGATTTGGGAATCCCTGAAGGACGGGACCGATGAGAGGAGGGAGAGGAGTGTGGCGCAGAATTCAGTCAGTTAAAGGAATTTGTTAAACTGAACGACGTCCTATCAATGAATTGTACAAGGGAATGTTAAACACACATACACACACAGAGTTGTTTAACTTTAGCATCTTTAAGAAAGTCAATTGTGTACACTTTAAGAGAAAGGCGCCAACTCTCCACATTCTCATATGTATGCGACAAGAAAGTTTGAAAAACACGGTTCTTGTGCAAAGACGGAGTGTAAAGCTCAGCACTGACCACCAACACAGGAGTTTTGTTTATGTTGCAGATTAATGGCATCTGCAGCTGCATTAGAGCAATGTAACTAATCAACATGGTCATTAGCGCGTGTTTTCACTGACAACTTTAATCAAATCCATCACAGCCCCACCTTCTTATTGCTTCCCACAAGCTGCATAATTATTTCTTCATTTCGTCCTCAGACAGGAATGCAATATTCATTAATATGTCTGCAATGGCTGACTGAAATTCATTTGGGAACTTTCATATTAGAAATGTATTGGCTAATGGATCACACAGCTCTTCCTCATATTGCCCCGCATTGAGCTCATCATTTTCTTTTTCTTTTTTTTTTTTTTTTTATGAAAGCATTGACTATGGTCATTAACCATGAAGCATCAAAACACTGATTTTCATATTGCATGTCTGTTAAAGAAAGAGCAACTTTATTTGAGCAATAATTATGACCTTTCGCTTGGATTATCTTGTGAAATTTGCAGTATGATAAAATTTTATTTTCACTCAACTTATGACTTATAACTACAAAAAGAACTTTACAGTCAATGATAACATTTTGCTTACTTTGACATTTTTTGAAGTGATCATCTGTGGAAAAACAAACAAACAAGAAAACAACAGAAAAATATGTTGCATTTATTAACCTCCTGCAGATTTAATTAGTTTTCAGTTGACCAGATGTGAGTTTTCAGCTCCACACTATTTGGTTTTATGAGTAATACATTTTTCCATCCACCTTGATGTTAAGGCATTAAGCAAGTTTCCTTAGAAGGAAACTAAAATAAAGCATAAGGAGATTCCTTCATATTTTTTCAGTAATCATAATTTGGTGAAATCAAATCAGAATCAGAATGAACTAAAATCAACCTGGTATCAAACAAGGTAACTTGTGGGGGAGTCAGTGTCGCTATTGTAAAAATGGGATGTCATATTTACAACAAACACATGCGACAGACAAAATAAACTCACTACTTCCTAACTTTGATCTAAAA